CACACACACACACACACACACACACACACACACACACACACACACACGCTCAGCACAGGCAGCACTAGTCCAGCTCAGTGAGTTCTAACAGTAACAACAAAACCTGTGACGCTGTTTGAGGAGCTTTTTGGGGGAGGGGCTGGAAGGAGTTGGAGGGTGAAGTGGGCACAGATATGATTTAAACACACTGCCCGCAGGTAGGAAATTAACCATTAAAAAAAAAAAAAAAAAAAAAAAACTCCAGTAAATAGGTTTATGAAGATTAGGTGTTGTAAACACCAAAGAAATACAAATGCTAGAAACTGGTAAATCCTAAGTCAGCTTGGTCAAAAAAACAAAAACAAAAACACAACAAAACAAAACAGAAGGGTACCTATGAATAGTGTGAAAACCACAAAGGAATATTAAGAGGATTTATGTCATTTGGCAATACTACCCTGTATAATTTCAAAATAAAGTAAAAAAATAATAAAATAGAAATACCCATGATAGCTTGCATGTTCCTTTTCAGACTTACACAGGTTACACTAGAGCAAACTTTGGGTGAGCTATAAAAATGTGAAGGGTATTTGAAAGCAGACAAATGGACCAAGTCTCAGTCTGATTTGGTAGCTCCAAAGTGGAACTCAGGCATTTCCATGTGCAGTTAATACAGCGAGACCGGAGACTGAATGTTGACAGCCACCATTGTAAAGGGATGATATTTTGGTCTTTCATTCAGTCTCTTTTGAAACAAAGTACATACCCATTCACTATAGACTCAGGACTAGTTACTAAAGGCCTTCTCTGTGTGGCACTCTTCCAGGGCCTTCGGTAACATTCTTGGATAAAAACGTGGGAACTGTGTTCCCTGTGACATTACATTAGTGAAGGACACAGACAATCAATAAAAAGCAATCATTTAATTAGCTTTTAGAAGGTGTAAGTGCTGGTAAAGCGAGGGCTGGGAGTGGCTGTCTTTTTAAACCCAGTATACTGCCTTGAAGACAACACTGGAGCACAGACTTGGTAAGGAATTTAGCCGCATGGTTGATTACCTGAAGGGAGAGGGAGTAGCCAGGAGGCTAGAATAGACGTTAAAGCAGGACTCTAGGTCAAAGGAGTAAAAGAAAGCCAACTGTTTAGGACCTTGGTTTTGAAGGAAAGAGACCCACAAGAGCAGTGGTGCTCAAGCTTCCTGATGCCGCCACCCTTTAACACACTCCCCCATGCTGTGGAGACCCCTGATCAGAACATGATTTTCGTCGCTACTTCACAGCTGCACTTTTGCTACTGTTATGGACTGTAACGTAAATATCTGATGTGTAGGATGGCTGATATATAACCCCATGAAAGGGTCGTCCAATACCCCGAAGAAGCTGCAAGCCGCAGGTTGAGAACCATTGCACCGTGCCGTCTCCTATATATACTTCTCCTTCTACACAGACCCGACCTCGTTTTCAAGATCATTTTGGTTGCTAACAGATAAAGAGGCTAAATTTATCTGGGGTAGGTAAGAGATGAGGATGAGCAGGGTGGTGAAAAGTGATGGGAACAGATACAGTTTAACAGGATTAAGGAGTTCCTGTTAGCTTGCATGGGGGAAGCTCAGAAGTATCCACGACTTTTGACCTGCGCAACTGGAATGACAGAGTTGTCTCTGAGGACTGCTGGGCTCTGGGACGCTGATGTAAAGAGGTCATGCATGGTAAAGACAACTCACGAGACAACAGTATCTCGTCAACTGCTGCTGACTGGCTAAGAGGGATGAGTCTGAAAACAAACACTGGAGTTAGCAAGGTGAGAGTCACTGAGGACTTCGACAAGCACAGGGTTAGTAATCAAGTAAAAAAACCCAAGTAAGGTAAAGATGTTTAGAAAAAATGGAAAGAATTTGGAATAAACAATTCTAATAAGGCATTTTGCCCTTCAAAGAAAGAAGGATGGTGTAGCATATAGGTAATGGGGTAGGAAGATGGTTTTTAGTAAACTGAAAATGTTGATATAGTACATGGGAATTTAAGGGATTACTGAGCAACATTCTGGGGATGTTCAATCAGACATGGACGACAAGAACAAGACTAGAAGATGGGGCTGGAAAGATGCACAACAGTTTAAGAGCACTGGCTGCTCTTCCAGAGGACCCCAGTTTGATTACCAGCACCCACATGGTGGCTCACCACCATCTTTAAGTCAAGGTCTGGGGAATCTGATGCTCTCTTCTGGCCTCTACAAGGATCAGGTAAAACACCCATATATGTTATAAAATAATAATAATAATAAATTCTAAGAAGACTAAAAAAACGTAGGTACATTCTGTTACCATGCTCTAGTGTGCAATCAGCACTTGTCAGCTATCAATATGTACTTATTGAATGATACTTTTAAAAATCATCAGGCGTTTTCATCGACTGAGATCTACTTCTTTCAAGCCAAGTAACTGTTTGATGTACACACAGATAAAGTTTTACATATGCTTGATAAACACGACTGAAGAAATTTCAAGTGGTACTGACCTTAATGTTAATGCAGCAGTAAGTATAACCGCGCTCTAGAATCATTATCCATATTAAACGATCCTCAAAACGGCCCAAGTAATGAGAGCCGGGTAGGAGGAGGCCTAAAAGAAATTTTAAAAGGGAGGGGAAAAAAGAAATAACTCTTTGAGCTTGTTTTATTTTGTATTGTGACTAGTTAAATATTTTTATTTTTATAAAAGAAATTGAATTCTCATCATCTAGAACTCAGTTTCAATTCTTTTGTCCATCATTAAGTCAAGAGCAGAAATGAGTACCCATTGCATATCATGAGGTATTAAGTCAAGTTCTTTAGGGGCACTTGGAAGAGACAACATATAGGTGATAATACAGAAAAAACTGAGACTATGTTTATCAGAAAAATGACCAGGTAGAAACTACTGAATAAAATGCTACGCACATATCAAGCATATTAGGAAAAGTATGAAATGTATGAAAGCTGATTTCACGCTGATCTAAAAGATAACTACTTAACAAATGTTTTCTGGTTTTGAGATTGTGCGAAATTTACATTAATCTGCGATGTGTGAATATTCTTAAAACTTAGGCCCCTCTTTCAACACAGTACCTTTGAGACTTATTCATGTCAACGCAACCAGCTGTTGCTGGTTCACTCACAGCTGTTAGAATTCAGTGTACGAACACATGAATTTAAACACTCCTTTCCTGGCTCACAGACAACTCAGGTGTTTCCATTCCTTCACTATTAGAAGTAACACTTGTTTTGTTTGTTTGTTTGTTTTGTGTAAGTCTCCCTCTTCAACATGTGTCACTGATGACTTAACTCAGCAGGGCTGGCGGCCATCCCTGGGAACAGCTGCTTACAAGGGATTCCCTGAGCGGGCACCCGGTGAGAGTCTCTCGCTGGCCCTGTAAAGGTCTCCATACTGGGATGTGCTAGGCAGGGTGACCCCCACAAGCAGCTGCTCTCCCTCCTTATGGGTGGAACCTACTGTATCAACTTGACAGAAATTCATTATACGTTCAAGGAAATCATGAACAGAAAGGTGTTTCTATGTTTCAATGGTGAGACTGCTGTCTGAATTCATTTAGGAAAATGTTTTCCATTTTAAACTGTCAAATCACCTAGTGAAAATTTCTCTAAGTATTTTTATTTTATAACTTTATCTCCAAACAGGCAGCAGAGAAAAAACTGTATTTCATATTTAATCTCTGCCTATACATCAAAGTACCGAAATCTGTTTTATGGTTCAATCAAAAGGATTTTGTTTTCTCCTCCCTCCCTCCTTCCCTCCCTCCTTCTTTCCCTCCCTTTCATTCCTTCCTCTTCTCTCCTTCCTTCTTTTCCTTTTTGCACCTCAAATACATCAGTGATTTTTCTTTTGAGTGTACCCCATCACTTACCTAAACTTCCAGCCGCCATTGCAGTCTGCAGTGCCACAGCCAACCTGGGGACCATCTGGTGGTAGAACACTGTGTCTGTGCACACGCAAGCTGCAGTGCCCACTACTCCTGGCCAGCTCTGGACCGGGCGAGGAAACCCCACGAAGAAAACAGGAAGGGTGAAGAGGGGCAGTAAAGGAGATGACAGTAGTGTTGAGAAAACTATAATAAATAACACGAAGGGAGCAAATACACTGTTGAGGACACACAAAGTAGTTGTTGTTTTCCTATGCTGTTTCTTTTCTGTCCATGATGCCAAAAGTACAGTCACGGCAAACTGCAATTTATTGATGAACTGAATCAAACGGTCTCGCATGATACCAATCTGTGGATACATAAAAATGATTATTTAACAAATGTCTTCGGAGTTTCCAAAAATCCAATCATTACTGCCTCAGTATTTTGAGGGACCAGCCCTAGCATGCAATTCCTTGTTATAATTTTTTTACAACCTCAAAACTAATAAACTGCATGAATAAGTCTGATCATTTTTACTTTTTTTTTTTTTTTTTTTTTTTTTTTTTTTGAGGAAGGACCACATGTAGTCCTGGCTGGCCTCGGAAGTTGAAGATGACCTTGAATCCCTGACCCTCTTGGCCTCCACCTCCTGAGGGGTTAGGGACACGGAGCCGTGCTTGCACTGGCAGGGTCTGTGCACTCCTGGGATATGTCATGTAAACTCATCACTCCACCAAGCAGGCCATGCTCTCACCCCAACTTTGGACTTTCCAAAACAGTAAGTTATACTAAACCGCTTAAATGTTACGGTTAACATCTAAGTTAACCACACCTATTAAATTAGTTGACTAGGAGAAACTCTAGGAAAGCACATTTATTGAAGATAACTAAGGAAGAAAAAATTAGATATAACAAAAGTTTAGACTACATTGAATTAACTAAGACTGAATTAGTGTTTTTGTATTTGAAGTATAGATTTGTTAGAGATACTTCATTTCTAAAATTAGTGCAATAATTAAAATTTATGACTCAATATTATGTATTCAAGTAGTATTTTGTGTTACTGCTATTTTTCTTTTTTTCAATTAATTAATTTTGCTCTTTGACAATTTCATACATGTTTTCAATGCATCCTGAGTATACTCCCACAATCCTCTTATTTTCTTCTATTGTCAGTACTCCGTTCTTCCTACAAATCTTTCCCTCACATTCATGACTTGTTTTTGTGACCTACTGAGTTTAATCAGGGGCATTTGCATGCCACTGAGTTTGGAAATGTATAATAATAACTCCCCCAAACTACTCATATAGAGCAGTTGAGATTCAATATTACAAAATACTATAAAGCATTTAAATATTAATATTTACTGGATATTATAAAACATCACAGGAAATGGTCAATACTGATCTTTTACCAACGCTTTCAGAGAATGTATGTATATGGAATACTTTTGAATCCATTTCAGGTGGTCCTGATATGTAAACCAGACACTATCACAAGGAGAGCTAAACATAAGCCTACATACATACACAAGGAAAGCTAACCAAAGTACACACATTCACAACAGGCTTACAAACACAGGAAAGGAACCATAAATTCCCCCCCCACACATACACACAAGGAAAGCTAACCATAAAAACACATATACACATGTCTTACACATGTCTTGAGAACACAGAAGACAGGTTAGATATTAGGCAATTCAATTCCACAAGATATGAAAAGTATTGAACATGACCAAGTAGGATTTAGAAAAATAAAGCTGGTTTAACAATTAAAATTCAACACATCACACTATGGTAGGAAACACACAAAAAAAACCTTTGATAAACTCCAGTTTATCAAAGTGCTCATGGTAAGAGCACTTACTGAGCAAGGAGGGGTACTTTGTAAGATAGAGAGCATGTATGCAGGATGATTAATGATAAAGGATTGACATGTTGGTGAAGGTTGAGCACTTCTCTCATTTGAAATGCCTGCTTTCCCTCTTTGATTGAACATTTCCCTGCCTCTCAACACAGCACAAAACAAAACATCAATGAAAAAAAAAATCACTGCAAGATGGCAGTTTATATCATGAGTGTGGTCATAATAAAAATGTCCTGTAACAAGTGCTGATGAGAATGCGGGACAGCTGGAAAGTCGCATATATTCTAAAATGGTATAGTCATGCTGGACAGCAATGTGCCAGTAGCCGGAAGCATGACATGTGAATTACTGTATGACCAGATTTCTATGTATACATCTACTCTTTCTGTCTGTGTCTGTCTGTCTATCTGTATATCTATCTATCTATCTATCTATCTGAGAAATAGAAAACATGTTTGTATAAAAATACATATACAAATGTTCACAGTAATATTCCTGTCAACAATAAAAAACAGAAACCTAAATATCATCTGATAGGTGTATGAACCAAAAGTGGTATATAGACACACTGGACTATTACTTGACAACAAAAAAGAAGTGCTGATACATGCTATATGAACGAACTTTGAGAATACATTACAAAGTTGAAGAAAAGAGATGTGAAGGACCACACATTCCATAATGCCATTAGGTAATTTATCCATGAGGTATAAATCTATACAGAGACAAAGCAGGTGGGTGGTGGCTGGGTCTGGAATAGATCCAGCTGATAGGGGGAGCGGGATCAACATTTGGAATGTTGCTAATGTACTAATGTTAATGCAGTGATGGCTGCAGCACTCTGCGTATGTGCTACTGAATGAGAAGCCTTCCGATGGATCGGTTTTATTGTGTTTAAAGCTCTTGGCAGAGCTGTTAAAACCACACTTACCAGTAACAGTCTGCTTCCCGTGTCAAGGCTCCTGTTCCACCAGCACTCTGTGTCAGACAGCAGGTGCACTGCTGTCACAATCACAGTCTCTAGTAACGCATTTTCTGTGCTCTGCCACACCTACAGGACACAATGATCCACCTTCAGGTAGAACTCAACAGTCTCAGCAAACTGTTAAATAAGAACCACAATCACACTCAGCCACAGGAATCGCTCTGCAGTGCATACTGGGATTACCGTTCTGAAAGCCCTGGTGAATCCAATGGAGACAGACACAGAGTGCAGCCTGTGTAAGGAGCTATCCAGTGCAAGGAAGGCCACCATAGCCAAAGGCGACACTGAAGCAAAACAGACAAATGCCACGTGAGTTTCATGCCTACAGAAACTGCTCCTGCCACAGTTTATCTTGGTAAATTGCTTTCATGTGCACACTTGAGCAATTAACTGAAAGGCTAATGAACAACCACCACAAAAAATCAAACAAACATTATGTGCGTTATGTAAATGTGAGGACTCTTTCCTAACTACAGTCTGTAAGAGTGAACAGTCTGTACCTTCCTACCTAGAGTTAGTAAAATCCATCTGACAGCGCCAATCCTCAGGAGCTTGTTTTGCTTGTCAAAGAATACAGACGCAGCTTGTACATCCTTCGGATACAAAGGGTTTCGGAAAATTCCAAAGATGTAGATGCTTTGAGTTTCTCTCAGTATCCACAGTACTGAAAGCAATGCCATCAGAACATAGCCCACGACGGATTGCGAGCTGCTTCTGGAAACCTCTGGAAAGCTGGCATAGCGATGCAGCAGCCCCGCCTCCAGGAGAGCCACAGCGAGCACAGTGATGCACAGAAAGCATTCCTTCCACCCGAACCTCTGTCCCGGGCTGCCCGTGAAAGCCTCGTGCCTGCTTCCTACTCTGTGCCTCAAGACCACACTCATGGCACTGAGGTTAAGACTCAGTAAGAAGCCAAGTCCGGTCATGAAAAGGACCACCCCGACGGTGCTGGGGAGGAAGTACGCCACGACAGGTGTTCCAGTGGAAATGACGAACATCACCAACAACCTACGGGGGAAGAGAAGACAGATTTACTTGGGAGGAAGGTTGTTCCATTAGAGCCAGCAGGATGGCTCTGTGGTAAGGGTGCTTGCCGCCAAACAGAGCTCCATCTGGAGAGCCGGCCCGGTGGAAGGAGAAAACTCACTCCTGTGAGTGCTGTGCTAGCACGCGGACACCTTCCACCCCACCAAAGAAGAAGCATGACGAAGAGCGGAAGTGACCTCAGACTTCAAAACTCAGAGCAAAATAACTTACCGTAGGGGAGTTGACATGGATGAGCCTCCAAGACCAAACTCTAAAACCTGCTCAACCGCCCAGAAGAAAAGCGCATCAGGTGGGGGCAGCGTGCCGAGTGCCCACAGGAAGGGCAACAACACAAAGAGGATGTGTAAAACCTGATTCATCTGCTCTAGAACTGGTATGTTTACAACAAACCTACAAGAAAAATTGTACAAGTTAATAAACGCACAAATAGCACATACCTCCCTCCCAAGAGAAAGCTTACACGAAAGGCCCTACTCCCCAAATGATCTGCATACACTTGCCCTTAAATAGTAATTACCTCAGTTGTGCAAAGCTTTACACAACATGTGGATTCAAATATGCAAAGGAGCAGGTTGGCAGTGGCACACGCCTTTAACCCCAGCGCTCGGCAGAGGCAGGTGGATCTCTGTGAGTTCAAAGACAGCCAAGGCTACACAGAGAAAGTTTGTCTTGAAAAACCAAACCAAACATACCTCAAAAACAAAGAAACCAAAAAAAAAAAAAAAAGCAAAACAAAACAAATACGCAAAGAAAGAAATAATTACAGGCCGCCTATAACATTGACTGTAGAGATTCTTAAAACTGAATAAACAAGAGCCAAAACATATTCTCCCCGTAAATCTCGATTGGCTGAAATCCTACCAACGATTCTTTAGGCTTCTTTATTTTAATCTTGTAATTTCCTAATTTAAAATTGCAAGCAACTCTGCAGTCAAAGCTGGAGCAACATATCTATCAGTCGCTCCCTTCTCTTTCTCTCTCACACTGTCTTTCTCTTGGGTCTCAAATCTTAAGTTGCTATAGGTAACAGCAGTGAACAGCTGAGGCTTTGATTGTGTCTCACTAGGTTGCTAAAGACTTAATTAGCGTTAATAACATTCTTCTATTTTTTGATAAGCAGTGTTATGGGTTTAAGTTATATTTGTACAATACTATCTCCTCAGAACCGGGGTGGCCCCTCCTTAATTGGAGAAATTAGTACTTGGTAAAACACTTCGAGTTAAACATAACAAAACTGACTTAAATTGTTTAAAAAAAATTTAAAACAGAAGAAAACTGCTACTTTTTCAGAATGAACTCAATCAAACACTGTGTCAGGGGGCTAACAAAGTCAGAGTACCAATGGGGTATTAGAGACTTTGAAGAGAAGAGGCCAAGGCTCATACTCATGGCAGAATTGTGCTTGAATACCCAAGCTGTTGAGAATCGAGGACAACTGTGGTACTTCAACTTTAAGAGTTTGCACGGTCTGAATGCAAACATACATTCACTATGGTGTAACAATGATCACTCATACTCACACTCACTCATGGGCACGACTGGCCTATGCCGGTCGACATATGGCTTCTCACCGTATGCCTTTCAAATTTGTCTACACGGGGCAGACCAGCAAGCACAAGGTTGCTATGTGCTGCTAAATTAGAGGACATGCTTTCCAGCAGTGGAGTCTGGAATAAAACATACTCGGTTCTGAGAAAAATGTCCAGTTAACAAAAAGAATCAAACATCAAGTGACACATTAAACATTAAAATAGTACCTTAAAGCTGATAAGAATCTAGAAGTACTTCATGCGCTTTTATTCATAGAATAATCCTATTTTTAAGAAAATAAACTTAGTGAAAAAACGCAGGACTTGCATATGTAGTACAGTAGGTATTAGTTTCTGACTTTAGAAATTTAATTAATTAGTTGCTGGTTTAAAAGAGGCAGAGAAAAGAAGATTTCTATGAGTCTGAGGCCAGCCTGGCCTCAGTAAGTCCCAGGAAGGCCAGGACTACTTCTCAAAACAAAACAAAAAACCCAAAACCAATAACAACAACAACAACAAACGGTATTCTGAAAATTCTGAGTCTTATAAACTTGGATTTTTAAAAAAGTTTGTATACATGCATTCAATTGTATGGCTAACTTTTAAAAACCAAGCATTTAATTTTAACTTGTTAGTAAATGATGACGCTATTAGGAAACCAACTAAACTACTCATTTATCTTCCTCTTAAATATATTGTTAGGTGAAGAATTGCATAGGTCTCACACTGTCCTCTTGATCTATAAATGTAGCACAGCTGGAAGAGATTAAGAGTTAAGAACAACTGAGGTCCATTTCAGCACAAACTGTTCTTGTATTTTCAAATGTCAACCCAACTGGGACCCTCATCACACAATACAATACACTGGGTAGTTAAAAATAATAGAAATTTATATTCTTAAAGCTTATAAACCAGTCTGCCCATACCTTGGGCTTGAAAGCCATCTTATGGTAAAGACAAACTAGGTTATTTATGATCAATCTGTTTCTCATGGACTGGACTATACCCCACCTGGAAGCTTAACTACTAAATGATACTGCCTGTTCTGGGAAATGGCAAGGATGCCTTTGTTTTATAAGGCTGTTAGGATCAACTTTGCAGCCATGTCTTTGTTTCAACAGATTATGACCAACTTGCTGTATTTATGTTCTGCCTCTGTGACCCCTGCTTATTTACTTGCCAAATCCCCCATTTGGAAAGCTATCAAAAGCTTATCTTGCCCATATCTAATGCTGATCTCTGGAACCCGCCTGAGGGAGCAATAGCCCGTGTACATGAATAAAGATTGCTTTAATTAATTTGACTGTGACTTGGGTTTGGCGGTCTTTCTCCTCGCCTCTATGGGATTAACGCCTCCCGAGTCAGATACAGATTTGTAAGTTACTATCTCACTATCAAATTTCTCAAAGCTGAGAAAGTTGAGGATGGTGGAAGACAGAGATCATGGCGAAAACGAGAATGAGAACTCTTCCTAATGCTGCAGATGAAGCCCGTCTGCTGTGTCCCTTCTTTGAAAGGGCCTCATTCCGTCACACCAGGTGGCATGTTCTTGACCTGGTCACCCTCAAAGGCTTTACTTCTAATTACATTCAGGGTTGTGCAACACACAACTTTGTCCACATTTTTTCCTGCCCAGTGCACACACAATGTAGGTCTTTTTGAATGAAAAAACAAGGACATGACAGCTCCAGGGTACGGTTGAGGTGAAGGTTTATTGTAGATATGAGGGAGTAAACAGTGTTAACCCCACCAGATGAGAATAAGACCATAAAAACAGTTTACAGCCAAATTTGAAGGAAGCTGTAGTTAAGCACTGCCCAGGGTGATAAACTCTCTGGCCAGGTCCTCCTCTGGGTTCTCAGAAAATGGCCAGGAGTCATACCCTGCAGAGGCTTTAGAAAGCAACACCGAAAGGCCACCGTATTTCCCAACAGGACCAATCAGGGGCAAGCAGGTATCTTCATGAACCTCCCGCCCACATTGATCAAGCACTTCTGCTGCCACTGCATTAAACAAACTTGTCTGGGAATGAAAATGAGTGGCTTGTTACCTCTCATAAACTGACAGCCTCTAGCATTTCAGGAGGTATCTGTCCTTGGGCAAGGAGCTTACAGGTTAGAGACATTTTTGTTTCATAGATCTCTGAGGCACAGTAATTAAAACTTAAAAACTAACTCTGGCTCTCACAACAGCCAGTGGCATCTGGAAGGGTACAGACCTAACTGGCCCATGAAAGGAAGGGTTTTTTGGGGGGGGGCGGGTAGAACAAAGAGGAAGAGAAGGCAAGAGAAGAACCAGGAGCCAAGAGGCCAAGATGGCGCTTAACCAAGATGGCTGAATTATATAGGAAAGAGAAGCTGGGGGAAGGGAAGCGAAGCTCAGGGGCTGGAGAGGCTTAGGCTGGGGTGGGGTATACCAGCCAGGATGACCCTGTAACAGGTACTTGTGACACTGAGAATCTAGTGAGCAGTGGCACCTCAGTTAGCCACTTACCCTGAATTTCTTTAAGACCTAACACTTCTCAAGTATAAAAATACATTTTTGTCCCAATGGTTCCCAAAGTCTTAACTTTTCCAGCATTAATGCTAAAGCTTCATCTAGGTTATCACCCAAATGACTGTCCTAAATGTGCCTAATCTTGTTTATATGCCACCTAAATTAGCTTTGGGTGAAGTTTAAGGTACAATCCTGGGGCAAAATTCCATTTCAACCTCGAACCTGAAGAACTAGGCTAAGTACTTTCCAAACTGATGATGATACAGGCTAGGACAAACACTAGGTACCAAGTGGTGAAGAGGGAGGAGGTGACTGATTGCTACCAAAGAAGTAATCCAGAAAGACAAACTGCATTAATCCTTTGGCTTTGGAGTAACTCTTTCTGGTTCTGTCCTTGGCTTTCTCAGACCCTGGAGTGGCTATGACCAGCACAGCTTCAGACAGAGGCCATTCTCCTGGCTCTGAAGAATGACCCTGCCTCTTGGCTATAGACAGAGGCCATGCAGCCCAAAGCTGAAGTGATGCTGATGATTTCAGAATCACTCTGGGTGCCACTCTCCCCTTCCTTATTCTAACACATCCACAGTTGATAATTCTGTCAACCTATCCTTCAAGATCTGAGTTCAGTAGCTTTCCCTCCGTTTGTCATCATTTTTCCACCCCCTTAATTCAAACAGGCCACTTCTCAGGATGCCATCCTGTACTGATTTAAGAAGCAGCACCATAGCCTCAGCCGTGGGCTCTCATAAGAATTTTTTACAATACAAATTGGGAATTTCCCAAATTTCAAGTTCTAGTTCTTTTTCCTGATTGACATTTTCACCTCACTCCTTTGTATTTTAATGTAAGCAGTCAAGATGAATATTTTTTCTTCACACACTTGTTTCAAATTGTCCTTTCTCAGATATCCTATTTTATCATTTACAAGTTCTACCTTCCACGAAACATGAGCAGTTAGCCAAGTTCTTGTCAGTTTATAAAAAAGGATTACTTTTCTTCTGGTTTCCAACTCAGATCCTATTACCTATAATGCCTCAATTTCTAGCCTGTACACTCCAAATCTTTGTCTACCAGCTGCTCAGTTATGTTAGCTCCATTTCCCGTTTAGGTATTTGTTACAACAATCCCCTGCTACCCTTGTTGGCCTGGGCTGTCATAATAAAATATCACACCCCAGGCAACCTAAACAAGAGAAATGTGTTTTCTCAGTTTTAGAGCTGGCAGTCCAACATCCATGTGCCAGAATGATCATGTGGTGAGGACCCCCTTCCTGGCTTGCTGATGGCTGCTGTCTTTCATGTGATGGAGATCAAGCCCTCTCCTCTTTTAAAGGCACCAGTTCCATCAGACCAAACCCTGCCTTCATGATATCATCTCTCAAAGGCTCCATCATGAAATGACATCACACAGTTTAGGGCTTAAATAAAGGAACTTTGTCACACACAAATATTTGCTCCATTACATGCCTCAACATTTATTTCTACCTGCCAACCTGGTAGAGAAAGCTTCAATCTACACAAAGAGAAATAGAAACCAAATTTAGAAGAGACAAACAAAAAAAGGTATCAAGCAGATTTGCAAATCTGTCTGCTTTGAAAGCTTTTTCATTTTCCTTCTACAACTAATTTAAAAACCATTATTCTATCTACATTTTAGTATTATAAAATTATAAATCTTCTATTTATTAGATTTGCTCTTTATATAATAGCAAGTGTACACATTTTAAATTATCCTCACCCTGCTGGAAAGGTCTACGTCTTTTCCCAGGTTTTACCCAGGTTATCCTGCAGACTTTTTTTTTTTTTTAAGTAATCTTCATTTAAAATGAAACACAGGACTCAGAAATTATATATCTTAAAGTGTTTTTGTTATGTTTTGACTCTTCAGTAAGATTTGCTACTTCTTTATAATACGAATATTTTATAGAGATCATTCCTAACAGATTAATCATCAAAACAACCTAAGTATCCCAATAGTTTGGTCTTAATTTTTAATTCGCTGATTGATCATTTGTTAGGACTAAGAAAAGCACTCTTGCCAGGTCCACTGAACAACAACGCAAATTATTAAGTATTCTGTAAGTTTTTACCTGTGTGCAAGGTCCACAGAAACAAAGAAAAAGACATAAAGTGGTCTCAGGAGAGGAGTGATTTCGTAAGTATCCTGGGTCTGAAATGTGGCCGTCTCTGTGGGGGTGTTTACAATGAGTGAATACTCGCCTATGCAAAGCGTTATCCACCCGAAGATGAAGAGTGTGGCCGTTGCCCCGGGGCTGCCATAGAGCAGAGCCACTCTGTTTGGGAGCAGGTACCATGTTCCCAGACCACACACCAACCCGGCAAGAACAGAATGAAAAACCGTATTAGCTACGTATTTTTTGCCAGGAATCAGAAACTTGACGGTCTCAGCACCGGCACAACTTATAAATTCGTGCTCGTCTTCCTCTGCTAAGATGTCCCTGGTTATCATCCTTTTAACCACCACTGATTTGCTCTTGGCATACACACTTGTGAGCTGGATGACAGATGCAGTGAACACCATGAGTCCTCCTGAAAGGGCTGCTGCTGTGTAGTCCCTCAGGAGGTCCAGCTGGTACAGAAGTGTTCCTGTGCCACCTAAAGCCCATGGCATCAGAAAGAGGACAATCTGGTTAAAGTAGATGTAGGGAGGGGCACAGTAGCCTAGTTTGAGACGAGGGCCTCCAAGAACAGTTTGTGGAAAGCGCTTCAGCAGGAAGTCCTGTTTGTAATCGTTTAGCAGAGGGACATCTGGACTCATACTTCCCATTCGGGATCGGTCTGAGAATCACATCCTTTTTATAATCAGCAACATCTATGAAAAGGGAAAAAATTAATTACTGTTTGAAAATACGGCATGGAAGACTTGGAGGAGACACAGCCCATGTTTCTATTTTCAGCATTTCTGACCTTGGTTCTCAGTACTTCACAACAGAATTGGTACTGTTTGTTCTGTCTCCAAAATAATTATTCTTTTTTAAAAAAGGAATCTTATTCCTTATTCTCTACCTCACATATAATCCTTACCATTAGATCTTTAACTCATACTTTAAATTCTGAGAACAAAGGAGGACAGGAAGCCAGGCCTCTCTACTCAGATCTTTGGTAGTTCTTCTATTTCCCACTGAGTTTTGTTATTGGTCTTTTATTTCTATCACAGGGTCAGCAAACTGTCTGTAAATGGACAGACAGTAATTATTTTCAGCTTGGTGAGTTCTGTTATAACAATCCTATTTTGCTGCTGTACCATAAAAGCACAACCATAGACAATACAACATATACATTAATACGAGTGGTTGTATTTTGTAAAATGCACAGTAGTTTTCCAAAGAGACTATCAATCACTGCTGTCTAAATAAGGATATTTCTCTATAATTCTTTGGAGAACAAAGTAAAAAATACAACTAAATGTTATGCATATCATTTAACAATTACAATAAATTCAGGATTTTCAAATAATTTGTCGAATCTTATTATATAAAATTTGTAGTATTTCAATGAAAACCCACTGTAAACCGGGAGCTCGAATACAATAGGGAGCCAGATCTCTAATCCCAGAATTCAGGAGGCAGGAGCAGAGGCAGAGACATGCGGATCTCTGAGTTCAAGGACAATTTGATCAGCTAGGGGTAAAAGTGAGAACTTGTCTCAAGATTCTCATCATCCACCTGTAAGATGCAGAAGGAAAAATAAGCTAGCAGTAAAAGAATTCAGAGTAGATGTGTATTTTTAATAGCTGCACCATCACAGGCAAGCTACTTAAAAATTCACTTTTCTGTCTCTGCTGTCAGTTTACACAATTGCCATAAATAAACCTGTGCAACCTTTATATCTTTTCTTAGAGGTTTTTTTCTACTCACAGGTCATGAAAATCTTAAGTATCAAGTGCAGTGGACTCTTTTTACTTTTCCTAAACAGCTTATTCTGAAAATAAAAACCAAACAACAAAACCCAGTTGCCTGATACAAGATCAGAAGAGTATTATTCAGTGGATCATTTGTTAGGTTAAACAATTTAATACCTTAAAATAGTCCTTTAAATTAGTCCTTCAGCTAGTCTGTTATATCTAACCAGGCAATACCTGTTTGCTTCATGTTAGGATGCTCTTTAAACTATAAACATCTGTGTTTTTACACCTTTCGTCAATTGTCTTTAGTTCTGTGTAGAACCAAGGGCAGCTTTCACTTAAGTAGCAGCCATGTACATTCGCAAGATAACAGAGCAGCACAGGGAATTGTGATTTGAATGAAAATGGCCCCAAAGGCCCACAGAGAGTGGCACAATTAGGAGGTGTGGCCTTGTTGCAGGAAGTGTGTCAGTGGGGGTGGGCTTTCAGGTTTCAGATGTTCAAGCTAGGCCCAGTGTCTCTCACTATTTCTTTCTGTGGCCTTCTGATTCTCAGGTAGCTCTCTCATTTCCTCTCCAGCACCATGTCTGCCTGCATGCCACTATGCTTCCTGCTATGATAATGAACTAAACCTCTTAACTGTAAGCCAGCCTCAACTGAATGCTTTCCTTTATAAGAGGTGCCATAATCATGGAATCTCCTCACCAACTAAGACTGGAATCTTAACTCTTAAGTTTTTTGTTTTTTGGGTCTTTTCCCTTCCTCTCTGTAAAAGCTTATCTGCCTCAGTGATTTACATTTAGTCTTCTGAAATAGTCTCCTAGTGTTACAAGGTCAGAAGGTCCTGTTTCTGCGGATGGGGGTAAACATGCCAATATGAGTTATCTACGGCAGATGCCATTAGACAAACTTCATTGGATCATCAGGATTTTAGTTATCTTAGTGGGATTTTTAGATAAAAGGTTGAAGGACACAGAGGACTGTTTGTCTCAGTGTTTCTTGAAAAGAAGCGTACAGCCAAAGAAGTCAAAGAGAAACTTTGCAATAGACGGTCACCTTAGAGTGTCACAATGGTTGTCAGCAAGCCAATAACTTAGAGAGAGCTTTGACATTAAAGACCATGACAATAAGCCTCCTTAAAATGTATCACTCAAGTTGTCTAAACTTGTTTGGCCACAGAGCCTACTTTTCTCATGCTATCTTAGTAACAAAAAATGCACTTCATATTTTATAGAAATTACTTTGAGAAATAATGGCCTACACTGACCAGAACCTTTAAGAGTTAAAACCGGAAGATGCAGAATAAGCATACAAATCAAGGAGGAATGGCATGCAAATACACACACACACAAAATTATGAAATCTGATAGCTAGAATGTCAGATGTAAAAACTGATTTAAATCATAAATGTTTTGATGTCTGTTTCCTAACAATTCATTATTGATCAATAGGGCAAAAAGGATATTAATAAGCCAGTACCAGTTAACTTCTAATTTTCATTCTGGACCATAAACGTTTAAAAATATTTAATAATTTAAAATCATTTTTGAGGTACTACCAAACACATTTATGTGGAGAAGTATTCTAAAAGCTAACCTGGATTATTTGTAGAAATAGAATCAGAACAGCTAAACTCATTCCCCGAGTAACAACTTGGCATTTTTAAGGCCTGTTAGTTCCTGGAAGGGCAGACAACATTTATATAGACCCGCCCTTAGTATGTTCAAATGAAAATAGCACAAGTCTGAGGAAACAAAAGCTGTGAAGAAGATGGCACCACAACACTGCTGTGGGCCATGTGCTGTCTTCATATGCTCTCTGAAAGTGAGCCAACAGAACAGACTCTGCAATGTTGCTGTATTTGGAATCTGAGTCATGAAATTCCCACAGGGGTAAGAAACAGTTCCAACTGGCAATCTGCTCTGAGGGAATTCTTAGTTACCAAAACTACAACTCATCAACCATATGATACTGACTAAAATCACTTGAAACAAAGACAAATACAACAAAAAGTAGTTGAATACATGCATGCAGACATGCACGCACACACATACATTTCGCAGAAGAAACAAACAAATTCATAACTAGCACTTTTGGCAATGTCTGGATTTTATTCAGGTTTGTTTTTAAAACCGCATCATGTTATTATTCTATAAAAACAACAGCCATGCTCCTACAATGTATTTCATAAAATCTGAAAGAAAATATACCAGTTTTACATTCCAAGCATCCCTGGATTTACTGTTTTTCAAAACAAATCCTTTATGACAAGTTACAGAAGCAAAATGGCCCATACCATTGTATACAAAAACTATGAACCAACTCAGTTCTCTACTTCTTAGGTAAGCGTATACTCCACATAGCGCATCCTGTGGCTCACAGAGCATGCGCAGCTTCCTCCTCCACCACAGAAAGAAAACAGGTCCACGCACCTGCAAAGAACTGTCATATCTCTTTGAACCTATAAAACTGCACCTATTAAGACTTTGGGAAGGTCTTTTGAAGAGTTGCTGTTGTTATTTCGCTTTTTACTCCCCCCGCCCCCATAAATCTATCAGCGCAATCTGTAAAAATAAACAACTATAAGCCAAGTGGCATAGGTCTCTAATCTCAGCCACTCAGGTGGATCTCAGGTTCAGGGCAGCTTGTATAACTTACTGGAACCTTCCTTCAAATTTCTGAAAGGTAAAGAGGTCTTCCAACAGAGCTCAGTGACAGAGATCTTGCAAGCATGTATGAAGCCTTAGGTTTAACCCTTAGGACCACAGCTCCTTCGCCAAAAGAAAAAGAAAAATCTAAAATGATTCGAGGGAGATGGGACAGTTCAAATTGGCAATGCTTCACAAGCAGGCCAATGGGCTATTCCTTCTGCTTCACTTTTCCCAATGCACAATACCAGGATATAAACTAACAGCTGTCTTAGGGTTACTATTGTGGTGATGAAACACCATGACCAAAGAAACTGGGGGAAGAAAGAATTTCTATGGCTTATATTTCCATGTCACTGTTCATCACGGAAGGAAATCAGGCCAGGAACTCAAACAGGACAGAGACCTGGAGGCAGGAGCTGATGCACAGGCCATGGAGGGGTGCTGCTTACTAGCTTGCTCAGCCTGCTTTCTTATGGAACCTGAACCCAGGACTACCAGGGCAGGGATAAAACTACACCCATCGATCACTTACTCAGGAAATGCTCTGCAAATTTGTCTGCAGTCCAGTCTTACAGAGCATTTGGAGACCACTCCTCTCTGATGACTCCAGCCTGTGTCAAGCTGACATAGACTAGCTCAGGACAACAGCATTCTACTATTCATGGAAAATTAAAATGAAAACAAGTGGTTGAAGATTCAAATTACCCTCCCATATCTCTACCACTCTAGTAATTCAATTGGGCTGACAACCTTTTCTCTCAAAATAAGGTATCATTGGAGTAGAGTCTTATATTCATATAAATAACTAGAAATAATATGAGCTCCAACATGAGTGCAGTTGGAAAATATTACTCTAACATGGAAAGAGCTAGACGCATGCACACAACTCATGTATTTTAAGGTTCTGTTTATACAGAACATCTAAAATAGTTCTGTAGAGGCAAAAATAGATTAGTGGTTGACTACAATTAATGTGTGCAGGAATACTGGGGAAGGAGAGAAAAACAGTTAAAATATAAGGGTTCTTTCGGAGGTAATTAAATTGTTCTAAAATTGACTGTAGTGATGGTTGTGCAATTCTGTTGATATGCTTGAAAACAAGTTGTATACTTTCAGAAAATGAATTGTGTGTACCTCAAGAAAGCTCTTACAGAGGAAGATGAAAAGGTTCCTTGCCCAAGATTTTAATAACTAACAGTTATTTCTTTAGGTAGGAAAGGTAAAACTTGCAGCTAGCATGGGATCCATACAGTTAAATTAGTAAAATGGTAATATCTGAACTGGATGCTGTGAGAAATTGTGGGTGAATAGGTGTGGATGGAAACAGATATAAAGAAATATGAATGTTTTCTCTAAATACAGGAACTTAAAGCAGATGCTGAGACTTATAGTCAAACTTTGGGCAGAGTGCGGGGAATCTTATTGAAAGAAGGGGGAGATAGTAAGAACTGGAGAGGACAGAAGCTCCATAAGGGAGCAACAGAACCAAAAAATCTGGGCCCAGGGGTCTTTTCTGAGACTGATACTCCAACCAAGGACCATGCATAGAGATAACCTAGAACCCCTGCAGAGATGTAGCCCACGGCAGTTCAGTGTCCAAGTGGGTTCCATAGCAATAGGGACTGTCTCTAACATGAACTGATTGGCCTGCTCTTTGATCACATTCCCCTGAGGGAGGAGCACCCTTACCAGGCCACAGAAGAAGACAGTGCAGCCACTCCTGATGAGATCTGATAGACTGGGATCAGAGGAGGACCTCCCCTGTCAGTGGACTTGGGGAGGAACATGGGGGGAGGGGGAAGGGAAGAAGGATTGAAAGGGGAGGAGGGAGGGATCTACGGGGGGGGGGATACAAAGTGAATAAACTGTAATTAATAAAAAAAATTTTTAAATAAAATAAATAAATACAGGAACTTAATGAGAAGGTAAAGCCATAGTGAAGAAAAACGAGTAAGGGAAAAATGAGAGGCACAGAGCATATAATTCAGAGGCCTAATAAATAACGGGAATGGGATTCATTTAAATAAATTCTGGTCTTTGACACGCAAAAGATTATACAGAGAATGAGAAACCTGAGAAACGAGCTATACATATCCAGGAGGCCAAAAACGAACAAACTTGGGGCAAGAGGGCCTGAGATGGAGATAAACTAAGAAAGAATGAACTCTATTTAAGGGGCACAGGCCGTAAACTTGATTAGGACAACATGTCCTCTCTCATCTGGGCCAAAAGGCCATTTTCCATTTCACGAAGGCCTCAAAGAAATAAAACGCAACTCCAAGGGCTGCAAAGGTATTCTCAGTCAAGCTAAAACCGCGCTGGATCATTACCTCTACCAATTCAGTTCAGCCTGTACATGAAAGAAGAGCTATGATTGCATTGAAAGGCTTTCTAACGGAATGGAGGATGTTTCTCGTGGTAGTAAAAGCTGAGGGAACGGGGCAGTACCCAGGCGTGGAAACTAAGGCACTAACGAAGTCGCAGGGGTGTCGGCAGACGGACATACCTGGAGTCACCGGAGGAGAGAGGCGACGCGAGGGCGTCCCGGGACCACATCTCCCCTGGTGAAGGCGGTTGGGAGCTCCCGCCCGACGATGCTGGCGGTCGCATCAGCAGCTGACCCGGGGCCTCCAGGACCGCTCCCGTTTCCATGGCTAACATCAACTGCGCTCGCGCCTCCCAGGGGGCAGTGCGCACGCGCGCTCGGAGGCGGGGCCCTGGGAGGCGGGGCTGTGAGTCTCGCTCCGCCTCCCTCCTCCATGGCTCTGCTGGAGGCGGGTTCGTGTGCGCCGACGCGGGGCGCAGGGTGGGAGGAGTTTCCTCGGCGAGGGGCGGGGCGGGCGGAGGAGAGGGGCGGGGCGGTGGAGGAGAGGGGCGGGCGGATGGAGGAGAGGGGCGGGGCGGGGTGGAGAGGCGGTCTCCACGACCCGACGCTGGCCCTGTGGCTCGAGCTGCCTAAGCACCACCCTTTGACCTCTCAGTCGAGCTACGCGGAGAAGCAAGAACGTGGTTGCCTTGGTGACGAGACGTTCCTCCCCTGGGAGCCTCAAGGCTGGATAGATAGATGCTTGGCCGCCATCTTGGGAGCCTAGAGTCTCCAAGATTAGCCGACCCGAGACTTAGGAGTGTAACAGGAGCCCAATCCCCTAGGGTCCTGAGAAAGCCAGTAATGACCACGAAACTAAGGCCATTCAACAGCCTCAGGGGTGTGACTGCTTTTAAATGGCGACATGCGCCCCTTTCTACTTAGATTTGAAACCAAATACCTTGTTTTCTTGCGCGACTACATGATACCTTTTCCTGTTTCCAAAATGAAAGTTCATGGCCACCCTGGCTCTAGCGAGTCTTGGTACCATCTTTCCAGATACGTGTGGCTACTTTTGTGTCACATCTTCGTGATTCTCAAAATATTTTAAACTTCACGTGTAAATTTGCTATAGTGATCTGAGCTCAAATGTTTTCGCTCTTAAATAGTATAATATTTTGGGGACATTATAAACTACATCTGTGTACTAGTGAACTTGTCAGTGGCAGCGGTCCAGGGGCCAGGAAAACAGGTTGCAGATTGCCACGGCAACAGGAGTTCTTTTCAGAAATCTCTATTCAGGTGAAAAAATTCCAGGGTGAGTCTGTCTGAAGCAGAGTTGGAGTTTACTAGTGATTATAATATAAAGCACAGGGGTTAATAGATGCGCTCAATGACAGGGTAAGGCATGCCAAAGTGTGGGGACTTTCTTTACATAATCACATACAGGATTTTGGTGGCATCTGAGGTTTCATAAAAACTATGCTAAGTAAGTTGAGTGATATCAGGAGTTTCCTGGAGTTTGTTGGATCTGATTACAGCTGATACGGTAAAAAGGCTGTTTTAAGAAATACTTTTTAGTCTTGTTTGGGCTTGTAGATATTTTAGCATTCTTATTTCAAATGCTTCTACATAATATATGTGGGCAATCATCACAGAAAGTTAACTGCTGGGATTCTTAACTGGCTGGGCTATCTCACCTCAAGAGTCAAAACAGTTACAGTTCTTTCAGCTTCTCAACACATACAAAGGTTTGTACTGTGGATTACTAAGTGTACAATAGCGTTATAGCTAAAAACAATGTGCATATCTTAATTACAAAACACACCTTTAGGGGCCTGGGGAGGTGGATCCGCAGAATTCTCGACTCCCAGCTAGTGAACTTCAACCAGACTCTGGAATGAAAGGCTTCTTTCCCTTCCTAGGAACCCTTATTTTTCACTTTCGAAGCTGTCTCAAACCTAAGTGATAAATGTGTTCCGACAGTTCTACAGATTCATTGATTTCATTTTTCTTTCACTTCTCCAGCCTCTCTATTTCTTGAGGCAAATCTCTAAGTGTTCAAGTGAAGGGAAGAGGTGCGTGTCTCTCGCTTTAAATCAAAAGCCAGAATGACTAAGCTTGGTAAAGGCAGGCATGGCAACAGCCGAGACAGGCTGAAAGCTAGGCCTCCTAGACCAACCAACTAAGTTTTAAATGAAAAATCCTTAAAGGAAATTAAAAGTGAACATACAGATAAAAAGAATCACTGCTGATGTGGAGAAAGTCTCCATGGTCTGGATTGAAGAGCAAACCAGTCACACTCTCTTCAATGCCGTGGAGGCAGATGGAGGTAATGAAGCCACAGAAGCAATGTTTGAAGCTAAAATAGGATGGCTCGTGATGTGTAGAGAAAGAAGCTGTTTGCATAACATTGCATGGCAGGGGAAGGCTGTGCTCACTAATAAAGCAGCTACAGCGAGTCACACGGACTCTCACAGGCATTGAAGGTGGTCGCACTACACAGCTGATGTTAAGTATAGAATAATAGCGTGGAGACGTGATTGAGTTTCTTTAATTCCATGGTACTCATTTCGGTGAGGAGTAGCTGCATCTTAGGAATGAGCAAAGAAAATGATTTTATACGATGGGATCTGCTCCTGGAAAAGATGCTAACAGTAGTGTTGAAATGACAACAAAGGATTTATAATACTTAAGTGTGCTTGATAAAATTAGTAGGAGCAAGGTTCGAAAGAATCTACTCCAACTCTGGAAATCGTTTATGAAAGGAAGAAAGACTCAGTGCAGAAAACATTGTCTTAAGAAATTGTCTCGGCCACCCCAAAGCTTTAGTAACCAATCAGCAGCCATTTGCATCGAGACAAGGCTTTTCACTCCCAGAGATAACTCTGAAGGACCAGACGATTAGCAACGTACTACCAGGAAAGTATTTTACATCTTATTTTAATTACGTGTTTATGTGTATTTCTGAATGTGGATTTCTGCATTTTGAGTGCCTGCTGAAACCAGAGGAGGGTGACCTGTCCCCTGGCACTAGAGCAACAGGTGTTTGTCAGCTGTCCAAGGTGGCTACTAAGTGTGAAGACCTACTTATGAAAAATTAATCTCAGGTCCTCTAGAAGGTCAGCAAGCACTCTTAACTGCCGAGCCATCTCTCTGGTCCCCCAATGACGCATTTTGTAATTAAGGTATGTGTGTTGTTTTTAGATACCATACTACCATATACTTAATAAACTGCAATATAAACAGGTAAAAACGTTTATATGAAAACACTGTGACTCTCTTTTGACTTTTGATTTACTGAGATGGTCCAGAACTCAAGGTAAAGGGCACGATATGCTTTCTATGTGGAATCATCTCTTTGTGTCCTTTTTCCTTCGGTAGATTTGTGGCCGCATTCTTAGGTATGGAGAACCAAAATGGCAGTCGCCGAGACAGTTACTAAGATATGTGTTTTGCTAATAAAGGAAACGCTCTTATGTTCCAACTCTCAAAAGCAGAGGATAATTTTTCAGCGCACCGTTCATTCTAGGTCCAAGAATCTTCAGCGCAGGACCCACCATTCTTGCTAAGAACTTACCCATACCTCAACACCCACCCATACCTCAACAACCACTGCCCTGATTTTTCATCTTTATTTCAAGTTCTGGACACATTCCAGGTTGCCATGGACTCTGGAAGTCCTCAAAGTAACTTCTCAGAAGTCCAAGAACGATTCACCTCAGCTGTCTCATGCAAGGGAGCTCTGAAGGCAAACTGTTGAGGTACGGGCATTTGTGTTTCCTTGTGTGAGTGATATTCTGCCACTTTTATACACTTGACAGCCTTAAATAGCTTGAGAACTGACTTATTTGGATCTTAACCCAACATTACAAATGGAAACTAATTTTTTTTCCTGTAGCTTATATACAGTAAGTGAGGGTTCATCAGAGCCTTTGGGCTTTCAGAACATAATGGGATAATTTTGTGTTAACAGAAAAAAAAATATTCACTTTAAAAAGATAAAATGTTTTTAGATGTAAATTGCAGTTTACTGAAAGCATATGGAAAAAACTGAGGTAGCAATGATGCTCAAATTAAAGACACAATCTGCATATAGACTCATATTTCATTGTCTTCACGGTTTGAGAGATTATGAGGGAATGTGCTTCTGGCCTACCCTCAGGCACCCCTCTTTGTTGATGAAGACAAACTCCATTACCCTGGGTTAGAGTACCACATTGAGTATTTTTGAAATTGCAGTTACGCCGAGAAGTCCGAGCACAAAGTGGTTAAGAGGGGATACTCCAGAGTTTGGAAGCCTAGGTCGAAAGTCCGCTTTCACCATTCATTGCTTCATCTCTTTTGGTCACCAGTCTCCATGTCTTATAAAATAGAGCTAATAAGGTAATTTAACCCACAGAGGATTAAGAAAATTGAATTAAAGCAAGTGATCCTAAATCAGCTAGCATGATAACTGGCAAAATTTACATGCTTATTAAGGATGAACTCCTGGTGTGTGTGTGTGTGTGTGTGTGTGTGTGTGTGTGTGTGTGTGTGTGTACGAGGCTTTAAAATGCTCTTTATTCTCAGGAGCACTCGTTGTGACACAGCAGAATTAACCTGTTCTTGTTGAAATATCTGCTATGTGGTATAAAGCTGTTAGCTGCTATTTGTGTACACAATGGCCCACCAACGGTGACTGATATTGTGGTTCTTACTTACCAGTAACAACACGGATTCTTTTAGCAAAAGGTCAAATAAAGTAACATGATTCTCGAGGGACTTAGCAAAGTGTGACTTGGGAGATGAACGAGGACATTGATGATTACAGGAATGCAGAAGTAGGATGCAAAGTATTTTGAGAAAATGAAGGACAGCTGTAGTCCACTTATAAAAGGCCAGTAGAATTAGTGGGATGAAGCTGTGACAAAGGCCATATTCCAGGATTTTGTGCATGCTAGGTAAGCACATTCCCACCTGAGCCACATCCCTGACATGGCAGGTGGAACTTCAGATCATGTGGCAGGGGGAACTTCAGATCGTCTCCTTATGCTGACAGGCATGTGTGCTGTGTGACTCAGATAGGACGTTAAATGACAGGGTGTGACACCTTTCAAAAGAAAACATTTTGTGTCCCACAGGCATACATATGACTGAAAAAAAACAGTGACTAACATAATCATAGCCTTGACCTAGTTGGTGTTATGCTTGCTTGTAAGATATATTTTATAGTTCTAAATTTTTTTTACAGTAATTCTTGGTGGGGAGTGTTACGGGATTAAAAAGATAGTTTTCTGATTTTGTTATCAAGAATTGAAATTTTTCCTCAGGGCTGGTGGCACACACCTTTAATTCCAGAATTTGGGAGGTTGAGGCAGGCAGATCTTTGTGAGTTTGAAATTAGGCTGGTCTATACAGAGAGTTTTACAATGAGCCTTTTTTTTTTTTTTTTTTAAGGAATTAAAATTTTTCTTGGCTAGCTCTCAAATTTCACTGTCATTTGTCATAACGTCCCATATTGAAGTTCTAATTTTCAGAGGTGTCTCTTTGTTGTTGTTCTTGTTTTTAAGGATAGGCTGTGGTTCTGCTGGTCTTGAGCTCTTAGCAGTCTGCCTGGGTCAGCCTCTCAGGTGCTCAGGTTACAGGTGTGAGCCACACATGCAGTTCA